CCCCCCCCCCTCCCCCCCAGCTAATCTCAGCCCGTTGTATTTTTCTTCAAAATACGTCTCAGGCTCTATATCTTATTTTGTTTACAATTGAAAACTGGTTTCAAACAACAATATGCAGTATGCAATTGCAGTACACAGTTCGGAAACAATATGACCGGAAAGTATGAAAATCTAACAAGTGTACTCAACTAGGATGTACTGTACATTGTGGTAAATTTAAGCCAGTTGATATTACGGTAATTGACAAAACTGATTCTTTGGATAAAATGGAAATATTTCTTATTTAAAGGGACTGTAAGCGTAATTTCAAGTGATCTTTAATGTAAAGATGAAAATACCAGATATACAACGGTATTCTTGTTACCTTAATCTGATCAAAAATACGGAAGATTGCGTCGTTTTTTAGAATTGTCAATGACTATTTCTGATAATTTCTTCATTGTTTCTTATAAGGAAGAAATACGGGAGTCACTTTTCTAGAGAACCTACAAATTAAAATGAACCGTTTAATAAAACAAAAACATAAACTAAACTAAACTAATTCATACTTTAAAAATGCCATCATTGCATGGTGGGTCACTTGAAATTATGCTTACAGTCCCTTTAACTTTAAAGGTGAAAGGGATTTAAAACGTAACTTCTGATTACAGAGTAGCATTTCCGATTGACAAGAGTACCCGTAAGAAGAATAACAGTTATTTGTATTGTAGTTTCTTTGTAAAAGTGGATTTCTAGATACAGAAACAATGGAGGAAATTGTGAAAGCTAGAAAAACGAGAATATCTTCAACATAGTGGCCAGCTACATGTTTAAGGGTTACGCGTTGTGAATTGGGCCCTTTTTAGATAGAGGGTCACAGTCAAAGCTCCGTTGTTCATGTTGGGCTCAAACAATTTAGAATTTTTTTAAAGCTTTAAAACTTTGTATTTGAAATTTTGTTTTTAAAAAAGAAATATTTTTGCAAAATAAATGTTTCGCATCTTGTTATCTGTTCTACTTGAGTTCAAGTTTACCAAGTTGAATCAAAATAAACTTGTTGAGAATACAAATACATTCGGAGCTTTTTTTCACGATTTTATTTACAATCCTTCATTTAAATCTTCTTTCAAAAGTTTGAACATTATCTTTATAAGTTTGAATGACTTGAGTTTTTGTCACAAACTCTGATTTTTTTAATTTCTATAATCTATATCTCTGCAACCTAATGTCGTAGACTTTTGAAATTTCAAAAGTTTACACCATCAGGTTGTAAAAAACAATTTGACTTTGTGGCAACATTAAAATTCAGTTTGAATTTCATTTGAAAGACATCTCATTGCTAAAATTGCTAGAAACGCGTTTAAATCTTTCTCTTGCTGCAGCGGTTCAGCTTCAGCCTATAACATAAATCCATTGTATCTCTAAACATTGTTGAAGTATAAAGAAACTGAAAAACTATACACAAATTCGATTTTTTCTTATCACTCTATCTTAACAGCCTGATGTCATAGACATTTTGCTATTTGTCAGGTTAAATAGTCAAAGTTTACGCCATCAGGTTGCAAAAATATTGGGATTGGAAAATTAGAATTTGTGAGGAGTGTTTATGTTCCTTTAACAAAACTATTTTCAGCTTTAAGTTACTGATGAAGACGGGATTGAGATGATCAAAGAAAAAAAATAGTTTTAAAATTTATTTGAATTGAATTATCTAAATGAATATTGTATATAATATAAATAATAATTATGATGAATATAGAGAAATATGTTTAATAAATGGCCAGGGTTCATGTTTATATAGCTAGCTAGTGCTGTGTGCACTGTTCAACAATTCTTTAAATATTTAATTCAATTTCTCAAAGGTTTGTAATGTATAAATTGCATGCTTCGAAACTGTAGAGTTGGCTTAACAGACTCAAATAGAAATAAAAAAAATTTCTAGAACTATAGTATTACTAAATTTCATTTTGAAAAAAAAAAGAATAAAGGAATTGAGTTTTTACCACAGACTCTGGTTTTTATAGTCCCCATTTCTTTGCAGTCCAATATTGTAGATCTTAGATATTAATCCTGTTATATCAAACAATCAAAGTCTGAAATATTTAAGGTTGCAAAGATATAAAGAAAGTTGAAATTTGTGACAAAAATTCAATTCTTTGAGGTTTTTAAAAGAATGTTTCCACTATTCAGAATACTAGATCAAACTCTAAAGTCTAGAGAAAAATTCTAAATTAAATTTCTAGATTTCGGAATTTATTGTCTTTGGTTAAACTTCTACCAGGAAGGCAAAAGCAATTTAAAAGCATAATAAAGAACCCAGATAATGGGTTTAGTTCACTGGTGCTGATATGCTATAGCGGAGTAACTGGGAGGTTCCTCCGTACCCCTGGGGGGACTATAGGGAGGAGGAGGATGCTGGTATACAGGATGTAGAGATCCACCAGGATGAAGAGGAGGAGGAGGATAGAGAGGATGGAGGGAGGGAAGACAGGGAGCTGAAGGTGAAGGAAGACGATGTTCTGGTCTAAGAATAGGATGAGCAGGAAGAGGAAGTGGAGGAGGAGGAGGACAGGATGGATTAAACTCCTGAGAAACTCTTCTAATGTTTGTATCTGGTTCTGATAGACAGCCCTGCTGCTCGGAAGAGTAATAATCATTAAATTTTTTCACTTTGGAGGTAAGCTTGGCGAGACCAAGGCAGAGGAGAGATATAGCACCTAGTATCACAATACTAACGATAATTATTACAGGAATATTGGAACTTCTCCAAACAGAATTGTTTCTGGAAGAGATATCCTTACAGTAAACCTCATCTGAAACATAATCAATGCATGAATAAGGAGATTAGTGGATTATTTAGCATGTCTCCAGGTTCTAGCTGGATAGGGAGGGATTACTTTACTCTGGGTTCCCTGATAAATAGCTGGAGGTAGGACAGCAAGATAGGATTAGTTTAATCTAGAATTCTGATAATTTAGTTTATGCAAGGTTCTTGGTTTTAAAGGGAATAGTCTACTCAGCTACATAATATTATGTATATGATAAAAAGAATAATTGAAATATAACGTTTCCCGTTTATAATTATGTACCATTCCTACTTCAGTCCTTCCAGGATATACATAGAAGTTTATACCGTGTTCCCCTTATCCCTAACACCGTCCAGCCAGAATATTTACAGGAGTTTTCTCCGTGTTCCCTTTATCCTTACTTCCGTCCTACCAGGACATATATATAGCAGTTTACTCCTTGTTCCTCTTATCCCTACTTCCGTCCTACCGTGATATATACAGGGTTTACTCAGTGTTCCTACTTTACCAACTCCTGTCTTACAAGGATATATACAGGAGTTTACTCAGTGTTCCTCTTATACCTAATCCTGTCCTACCAGAATAAATATAGGGGTTCATGTTTCCCTTAAATCGACTCCAGTCCTACAAGAATAGGCGTTTAATCCATGTTCCCCCTGTTTTCTACTCCCGTCCAGGATATATGTATATATTGGAGTATACTCCATGTTCCCCCTGTTTTCTACTCCCGTCCAGGATACATGTAAATATCGGAGTTTTATCTATCTTCCACCTGTTTTCTACTTCCGTTCAGGATATATGTTTATATCGGAGTATACTCCATGTTCCCCCTGTTTTCTACTCCCGTCCAGAATATATGTATATATCGGAGTATACTCCATGTTACCCCTGTTTTCAACTCCTGTCCAGGATATATGTATATATCGGAGTATACTTCATGTTCCCCCTGTTTTCTACTCCCGTCCAGGATATATGTATATATCGGAGTATACTC